GATTTTGCTGGTTGCTGCCAGCGCCTGCCTCCTTGTTCTGCGCACTTTCGCTTCCTGTTTGCATTCTCGCTTCCTGTTTGCATTCTCCCCTGGAGACGAGCTGCTTTGCATCGGAATCTGGAAGCAACAACTGATTAGGGAGCTTCTCCCCCCCCTTGGGAATTTGCTTATGCCCTGCTCAGAAGGAAAGCCGAGAAGGTCCTGCCTGCACTTTGCGTCACCGGGCGAGTGTTGTTTCTTCTTGGGACACGGTGTGTTCCTCGTGCCTTGCCAAACAAGCAGCCTTCCGCTTTGCGATTGGTCAAGGGACGGCCTGGCCCCTCGGCCGGATTGGCTGCGGGAGAGGCAGATCCCTTACGCAAGCCGGGCAGCTGCCAGGAGCATGTGGGGATCTCAGCTGGGAGCCCTGTGCACCTGACTCCTCTTTCTGCTTGGCCTGGCGAGATCAGCTAATCCGGCTCTTGGCAGGCCTGGTTCTCTGCCATCTGATCTCCGGGGAGGCGTTTTGGCACCTGTTTTGCAAGCGCCCATTCATTTCAGCCTGGGCTGCGCAGGGGAATTGGCCTTGCTCTTGCGGGTCACAATTTGGCAATCTTCCTCCCTCTGGTCGCCCCTATTGGCGGTTGGGCATCTGGCAACCAATCAAAGAGAATATTTGTGGCTCACAGTTGAAATGAGGGGTCTTTGGTGCTCTCTGAGCTTCTTGCAGATGCTTCTTTAAATTTTGTGCACTGATGATGTTAGGTAGAGGACAGGAAGACCTGGAGGAACATTGTCCATGGGGTCGCGATGGGTCGGACACGACTTCGCAGTTAACAACAACAAAACAACAACAACAATGGCTAGTCTAGAGAAAAGAAGGACAGGGGGGAACATGACAGCAGCATTCCATTATTTGAAGAGCTGCCACAAAGAGGATGGAGGGGGTCAACCTATTTTCCAAAGCATCAGAAGGTAAGACGAGAAACAGTGAATGGGAACTAATCCAGGAGAGAAGCAACCTGGAATTAAGGAGAAACTTCCTAACAGTGAGGACAGTTAAGCAGAAGTTGTGGGTGCTCCATCACTGGAGGTCTTTAAGAAGAGACTGGACAACCACTTGTTTGACATGATATAGGTTCTCCTGCTCGAGCAGGGGGCTGGACTAGAAGACCTCCAAGGTCCCTTCCAGCTCTATTCTACTCTAAAGAGTGGAATCATTAAAGAACGGAGGTTTTTAAGAAGAGGCTATCACAGTGGTTCTCAACCTTTTTAATGCCGTGACCCCCCCCCAACCGGTCGTAAGTCGAGGACTACTCAACCGGTCATAAGTTGAGGACTACTCCACTGGTGCAGCACCGTTTGCAGAATGGGACTTTTGGCGGGCTCAGCAGGGCAGAGACAGCCTGGACAATTCCTATTGGCTTTTGAAAGCCAATAGAATTAGACTCTATTCAAGAGAATCTATTCTATTGGCTTTCAAAAGCCAATAGAAGAAAAGGGAGTAGCACAGCTAAGGAAAAGGGGGGGAAAATGGCGGACTGCGTTGTTTGGCGACCCCCGTGAAATGGTCATTCGATCCCAAATGGGATCCCGACCCACAGGTTGAGAACCACTGGGCTAGACAGTCCCTTGTCTGAGAGGGTATAGGATCTCCTGCTTGAGCAGGGGGCTGGACTAGAAGACCTCCCAGGTCCCTTCTAGCTCTACTCTGATTGATTAATGAAACATCTGCAAGAAAATAACCAACCTCAGAGACCACCAGGACCCCTCCACCTTGTCTGAGCTGGAGATAGGGTGAATTAAGGGCACTGTCTGGAACAGGACGTCTTTTCCCATGGGGGGGTGGGTTACAAAGGGGTGCTTTACAAAGACCGTCTCTTCCATCTTGCCAACTTTGAGGGAGTTTTGTCTTTGGGATGAATAGGTTTAAAGCCCCCTGGTTCTTTTTTGTTATTTGTTTAGCTTATTAAACCTCCTGGCAGGTTTGCCTGTTAGCTCTGAAGTTCTGGATCGCCTGAACCGGAGCGTTCTCTGCCACTTTTCCAGGCAGCTTTTCCTGCTCCAGAGTAAACACAAGCACGCCCTGGCACTGGCCACTCCTGTCAAGGGCCATCAGGCACTTAGTCACTTCTGGGCTGGAACCTCAAGGAAAAATTGGCTGCCAAGTTGCTGGGAAACACAGACCCAACCGGCAGTTACCTTAAAAAAATAGGCAAGAGCTGGATTGCACTCTGGGAAAAAAATATCCAAGACGTAGCTGTATGGCGTCTTTATCAGGGCTGAAAAGGACGTGCAAACTTTTCGATTCTTGGAATTCATTGAACAAGGTGTCCTTTTAAAAAGAACAACAACAGGAAATTGGGAGAAGGAAGTTCATGTGCAAAATAGCTATTTAAACCATGAAACCTGTAGTTCCCAGTCAATCCAGGCTCCCGCGTGAAGGGTGACACTCCAGATGTGGGGTCAGTTCAATACTGAGCTGTCCTAACCTGGCCCAACCTTCAGGAGTGCAGGAACAGCTGCCTCCACAGCTCAGGAATCAGTGAGACAGAATAGAGTTGGAAGGGACCTTGGAGGTCTTCTAGTCCAACCCCCTGCTCAAGCAGGAGACCCCATACCATTTCAGACTAGTGTCTGTCCAGTTTTTTCTTAAAAACCTCCAGTGATGGAGCACCCACAACTTCTGGAGGCCAGTTGTTCCACTGGTTAATTGTCCTCACTGTTAGGAAGTTTTTCCTTAATTCCAGGTTGCTTCTCTCCTTGATTAGTTTCCATCTGTTGTTTCTTATCCTGCCTTCTGGTGCTTTGAAAAATAAGTTGACCTCCTTTGTGGCAGCCCCTCAAACACTGGAATACTGCTATCATGTCCCCTCTAGTCCTTCTTTTCTCTAGATAGGCCATACCCAATTCCTGCAATCATATTGAGTAGAGTAGAGTAGAGTAGAGTAGAGTAGAATAGAATAGAATAGAATAGAATAGAAATAAGGAATAGAATAGAATAGAAATAAGGAATAGAATAGAATAGAATAGAAATAAGGAATGGAATGGAATAGAATAGAATAGAATAGAATAGAATAGAATAGAATAGAATAGAATAGAATAGAATAGAATCTGGAAGGGACCTTGGAGGTCTTCTAGTTCAACCCCCTGCTCAAGCAGGAGACCCTATACTATATCAGACAAGGAGCTGTCCAGCCTTTTCTTAAAAACCTCCAGTGATGAAGCACCCACAACTTCTGGTGGCAAGCTGTTCCACTGGTTAATTGTCCTCACTGTTAGGAAGTTTCTCCTTAATTCCAGATTGCTTCCCTCCTTGATTAATTTCCAAATATTGTTTCTTGCCCTGCTTTCTGGTGCTTTGGAAAATAAGCTGACCCCCCCTCCTCTTCTTTGTGGCAGCCCCTGAAATACTGGAACACTGCTAGTTACTCAAAATCCAGCAAGACCTTTATTATGAAACTACCCTGCCAGTCAGGATCCCTTTCTTGGACCTCAATGAAAACATTGTAGAGTTGGGGGCGGATGGGGAGGTGATTGCAACACAGACAGTCCGACAGTCCGTCATTCATCTCCCCTTGGAAGTGGATCTGAAGGAAGAACAGTCAGCTCCCTCACTCTCCCCCCCCCCACCCCTCCTTCCTTAATCGGCTTTGGCAAAGCATTACAAATTCCATCAGCCCCTCTAGGTCACAAGACTTCTGGTTAGGGGGATGAACCGCCCAGGTTTCTACAGGCTCCTCAGATTGCAAATTCCCCCCAAAAGCTCCCTGGTCTAATAGGTTTCACTTGGGGAGGGTCTCTGGCTGCTGCTGTGGCAGCAGTAGCTGCCCTCTCCTCGTGCCCCCCCCCCATCTCATGCATTCCTCTCTGCTTTCTGCATTCCAAAAAGAAGACTGCAATCTGGATAAATCTCAGAATCCTGGATAAAACCCAGAAGATCTAAACGGCCTTTAGAGTCCCCTACCCAACCTCCGGGCCACACACCACTACCATTCCTCAGAGAAGACAAACTAAGATGATTAAAAGCCAGAATTCTGGGAGATGAAGTCCACGAGTCATAAAAGAGCTAAGGTTGCCTACCCCTGCCTAAATGCCTGAATTTTGATCACGTGACTGTGAGGAAAAAACATTTAAATATTTAAACCAGGGGTCTTCAAACTTGGCCCTTTTATGACTCGTGGACTTCAACTCCCAGAATTCCTGAGCCAGCCATGCTGAGGGGAAAGGGAGAGATTTCCAAGCTGAGCCATGCTGGCTGTGGAATTCTGGGAGTTGAAGTCCACAAGTCATGAAGGGGCCAAGGTTTCCACCATGCTGGCTGAGGAATTCTGGGAGTTGGAAGTCCACGAGTCATGAAGGGGCCAAGGTTGCCTACCCCTGACCATGGGGATGCTGCAATGGTCATAAGTGTGAAAAATGGTCATAAGTCCCTTTTTTTCCAGTACCGCTACAACTTACTGTAAGTCAAGAACTAACTGTACTCCCAGGGAGTCCATCACAACTTCAAACCTTGCTTAGATGACTGTTGTAAGTCAAGAACTATTTGTAGAAAGCAACCTACACCCTAACCCACAGATCCCCAAGCTTTTGGGCACCAGGGACCAGTTCCGTGGAGAGAGGTTTTCCCACAGACCGAAGAGTGTGTGGTTTTGTGTGCTTCCTGCATCCCACGGATGGGCCTTTGCTTGTTTCGGCAGACTAGTTGCCAGCATGCCATGGCTCGGTACTGGTCCACGGACCAGGGGTTGAGGACCCCTCCTCTAACCCTTTCCTTGTTGAGCCACAGCCCTGGAGATTTGACTGCAAGGCCCACAGATTCTGATATTGCCAAATGTGCATGTAATTTAGGCTGGAAGACCCTAATCCTAACTCACTCTTGGGGTTGCCTCTGGGCTGCTGTGGACAGCTGTGCCCCCCTTTGGCTGGGCAGTGTTTGCAGAGTGAGCGGCTTGGGGTGTGTTAACTTGGAAGACCCCCTTTGGCAGAAAGTAAAGTATTCTTCCTTCCTTCCTTCCCAGCTCCTGCGTCTCTGCCTTTGAGAAGGAGACAGGCAGTAAGTAAAGTTTGGGGTCTCCAGCCTGCCCTGGGGAGGGGGGCCTAGCAAAAACGTCAGCCTTGTGGCTTCTTTCCCCCCCCCCCCTGCAGCCTAGAGGGGCTTTGCAAGATGCAACATGTTCTCTCTGGTTGCATTTGACACAAGGAGCCCCCGGGGAGCCCCAGAAGAAGCTGTAGGGCCAGAGGCCTCTTTGAGTCTTTTCACGGCACGTCAAGGGGCGCATACCCAAAGTGGTGGGGCCCCGGCTCTTCTCTGGGGGGGGGGAGGAGGTAGGAATTCTAAACAGTGAATAGCTGCCCTATTTGTTCCTTAGCTCTCCAAATGTGCTGAGAGAAAAACAGCCAAAGGGCCAAGAGGTTGGCCTGATTCTTTGTGAGGGGCTCTGGAGGCCCCAAATACCAATAGCCCTTTAGACTTATATACCACTTCACAGTGCTTTACAGCCCTCTCTAAGCGGTTTTACAGAGTCAGCCTGTTGCCCTCAACAAACTGGGCTCTCATTTTACCAACCTCGGAAGGATGGGAGGCTGAGTCAACCTTGAGCTGGTGAGAATCGAACTGCTGGCAGTGGGCAGAATTAGCCTGCAGTGCTGCATTCTAACCACTGCACCACCACGGCTCTCATGGATGCTTCTGGTCCAGGCTTGGTCACCATTTTTGCTCTCTTGTCTTGGCTGACTTTGCCTCACATCCTGAATGTAAACAGATTTAGACATCTTCCCCCCCCCCCAAAGTCAAGCAAGTTAAACCATGATACCCAGCAAGGATGGATAGCCAGGATTCTTGGTCCAGCCTAGAATTTGAAGCAATTGCTTTGAGAGGAGGGGGGCTTGATGGGCTCAGGGTCTAAAGAGGCTGGGGCTAAGGGGGGGGTCCCTCCCGATTTGCTGTCCTTCCCAGAGCAGAGAGAGAAGCGCTACAGCGTCCATCACAAGTTTGGGGATCGGCGGGATGGCGTCACTGGCGCCCGAACCTACTTCTACGCCGATGAAGCCAAATGCGACCGGCACATGGAGACGTTCGTGAAATGCATTGAGGCCTCAGGTAAGCAGCCTTCAGTGCCCCCACTCAGCCTCCCCCAATCAAACGTGCTTCCTCCCACAGGAAATACAAAAGGGTGCAGGACACACAGACACACACACACACACACCTGTACAACCTGCCTTCCAAGCTGGGATGGGCAAACATGTGGCCCTAGATCAGGGCTTTTCAACCTTTTCACCCATTGTACCACTTTTAGGATAGGGCAACATCTGAGTACCACCAGTCGCCTAGTAAGGTGTCAAAAACTGGATGACCCCCCAAAAAAGGAAAAAAGTGATAAAGTACAGGTAGTCCTCGACTTACAACAGTTCGCTTAGTGACTGTTCAAAGTTACAATGGCACTGAAAAAAGTGCCCCCCAAGCCACAGCCGAGCAAGACACCTGCCGGCCCACCCAGCGGCGCTCTTCCTTCTGTCCGAGTTCATTGTTGTGAGCATTTCTGTTGAGGATTGGCAACGCGGGGTGAGGTGGGGGGGTATTTAGGTTTTTATTTCCCCCGTCTGCTGGGTGGTTGCAGCAGGTTTTGGTCACTTCACATGACCCTGGGACACTGTGACCGTCATAAATAGGAATCAGTTGCCAAGCCTCTGAATGTAAATCACAAGACCCTGGAGATGCTGCAACACTCCAGCTATTGGTGCTTCTTCTGGGCTCAGCAGAAGCACCAGGATCAGTGCTGAGCTCCAGCTGGAGCCTGGCGCTGATCCTGGCGCTTCCACTGAGTCCTGACAGCCCCGAAGAAGTGCTGATCCTGGCACTTCCGCTGAGCCCTGACAGCCCTGCAGCTCCAGCCATCTCTCACTCAGGCTTGTGCGGTGCTGCCACCGGTTCAGCTCATTCCCCTCCCCCGCTACCACTTTTCTAGGATGGTCGCGTACCACCTGCCAGGTGCCAATGTACCACAGGTGGTACCCGTACCACTGGTTGAAAAGCCCCGCCCTAGATGATGACCTGGGATCAGGCCAATGGGGAGAGATGGGGGGGGCAGGGCTGGAGTCCAAGCAGCTCTGGGGCTGTCTCCTCCACTTTGGCTGCCCTCCAAAGATGCTGCATCCACCTAGTCACAATTGGGAAAATGTGACCATCCTAGACCAGGCCAAATCCAAAAATGCCAGGGAATTTCTAGAAGTCTGGCCCTCTGACAAATCAGCCATCGATAGACACATGGACATTTAACAACATCTCTGGACGATGCCAAAGAGACCATCAGCCAGCCCAAAGCACCTCTCCACCAGTAATCAGAGATCTGCATAGATTAACTCCAAGGTGTAAGGACCCACCCCACTTTGCATCTTAAGAAGACAAAACTCTTGGAATAGTTCTTCCAACAGGCATCCTTTATTAAGAGAAAATGGTTGCAGGCGTTCTAGACAGGACTTGGGGTCCAAGCTCTCCCATTCAAGTTTTAAGGGGTTCCCCAGTAGCCCCACCCAATCACCCCCTTCTTCCAGCGACAGTCTCAGGCATTACACTCCCACCCCCTTTTCCTTACTGCCGGCTGGGTGGAGACTTCAGAGAGAACTACATGAAAGGTAATAGCCCCATTGTTATGGTTAGTCCTTTTGGTGATATCCACATCCAGTTCCTTTGAAGTTACCGAAGGGAGGGCCATAAAGCCCCTTTGTTCACCCCCCTTCCCTTCCTTGTATGGCAGAATCCATAGAAGGCAGAAATGGGTTTTTTTTATAATTGATAACTAGAGGTGAAATATAATTGGATTCTGACAACTTTAGACCAACAATCAAGTAAGCAAGACCCCAGTCAGGAAACTGCCCTGGAGCCCAACCAAGGAATCCCTAAGACCCCCCCACCCACCCACCCAGACAGACAGACGGACAAAACACCAGAATATAAACCGACAGCAAACAGCATTCCTGACTAGCCCTGGTGTTGTTACCTAGTTAAGGACCCCTCAGGTTCACTCCCGTCGCCAGCCTTCTTGGCAACGTCGCTGCTGCTGTTCAGTTCTGCAAGTGGAAGCTGATGTGCCTGGAGGAGGTCTCGATTGAAGGAGTTCAAGAGGTTCCCCCTTGGCATCACTCTGGGGTCACCTGTCTCAAGGCTTCGGGAGGGCAGGGCGGCTGAAGTGCTCCTGGGGAGATGCTTGGAGGCCGAGGGTCTTTCCGCGCTAGAAAGGGCCCGAGCGCTAACTTGGTTGTTTTTCTAGGAGGCAGCTCCAAAGACGGATTCTCTGCCATCAAACTCACAGCGCTGGGCAGGCCGCAGTTCCTGGTAGGTGATTGCCTGTTCTGGATAAGCAGCATTTGGTTAGAAGAGAATAACAGAGTTGGAAGGGACCTTGTAGGTCATCTAGTCCAACCGCCCTACCCAAACAGGAGACCCTACACCATTTCTGACAGATGGCAGTCCAGCGTCTCCAGTGATGAAGCTCCCACAACTTCTGAAGGTTACTTCTATTCCAGTGATGGCGAACCTTTTAGAGACCGAGTGCCCAAACTGCAACCCAAAACCCACTTATGCATCGTCGGGTGCCGGGTGGGTGTGGCCCATTGGGTGGGCGTGGCTGCGGTGGTAACGGCAGGCTGGGTGGGACTAAAAAGTTCAATCAATCAATTCCAACTTTGCTAGATCTTTTTCTTTCCCGCAAGAAGTTGAAATTGACTGATTGATTGAACCTTTTTTTTTTTTGCACATGGCGGTGGAGGCCTAAAGTGAAAAGGTTTTATAAAACCCAGCTGAAGGCCTAGGACTGGGGCGACGGCGCACATGCCCACAGAGAGGGCTCTGAGTGCTGCCTCTGGCACCCGTCCCATAGGTTCGCCACCACTGTTCTATTCCATTGCTTGATTGTTCTCACTGTCAGAAAGTTTCTCCTTAGTTCTAAGTTGCTTCTCTCCTTGATTAGTTTCCATCCATTGCTTCTTGTCCTGCCTTCAGGCGCTTTGGAAAATAGCTTGACTCCCTCTTCTTTGGGGCAGCCCCTGAGATATTAGAACACTGCTATCATGTCCCCCCCCTCGTCCTTCTCTCCACTAGACGAGCCACCCCCAATTCCAGCAGCCTTTCCTTATATGTTTTAGCCTCCAGTCCACTGATCATCTTTGTTGCTCTTCGCTGTGCTCTTTCTAGAGTCTCAACATCTTTTTTATAGTGTGGAGGCCAAAACTGGATGCAGTACTTTAGGTGTGGTTTCTTGCCTCCCTACTGGCCCATCGTCTTTTAGCTTGTCTCAGGCCCTTAAGACAGACGCTGCAGACTGCCAGATGTTGCTCAATTCCCATGCGCAGTGCCTCTCACTGCTGGCAAAGCCGGCAGTGGGATCCCCTTGATGAAACAGGGCCACTTTTCAGGATCCAGGAAGGGTGCCTTCTCTGTCATGGCACCTGACCTCTGCAATGAATTCCTGTGGTCATCCCAGAAGGCTTAAAGATGATCTCCCAGGCCTGGGTTAGGGTGCTGAGAGCTTAGAGTTTGGGTATGTGTCCTGTGTTGCATACTGTACAGCAGGGGTCCCCAACGTTGGCAACTTTAAGACTTGTGGACTTCAACTCCCAGAATTCCCCAGGCAGACCTGAAATGACAGGTGTTCCTTAAATGTAAGGACTCATTGTTGCTGGTAGTTAGAATCTTTAATATTATTATTTGCAAACAAAATGAAGGTTTCCTATTTAGAATATTAAGCTGTCAGGTGAGTAAAACAGCAACATCAGAACCGATCTTAGGTTAATAGGTTAATCACACATAGTTGGAGAACTGCTCAAATTCTTTTATTTAATTTTAGAGCCCGGTACAGATGCATTTCCGTTCAAACAATCACACAGTTTGTAATGTACATAGGTTTGCAAAACAATGGGATAATAAAGGAACGTTCCTGAACTTTGCTTTATGATGCATCTCATGGGTACCGTGAAATTGTGTGAATGCATCAATGCAGGGCATGCTATCTCAGCTTGCAGAGCTTGGATGCATGGAATGAGTTTACCAAAGATGTAAAGGTTGCAGAGTATACAGCCTCCTGCTACGTAACTAAGCTCCATTTCATGCTGAATAAACTAAATTATTAATGTATCTTAAATAGAAAACTAGATAGATTTTTTTACTCCAAAAGCATTTTATTAAAATACATTCGATACAAATTGAATGGGAAGGTTGGGGGAGGGTATGGGAGGATTGGGGAGGTTGGGGAGGGTATGGGAGGGTCGGGAGGGTTTGGGGAAGGGAATTGTTTTGTAAAACTTAAAAATTTTCAATAAAAAAAATACATTCGATATAAATTAAAAAAAATCCAATTTAAATTTTAAAAAATCTGATTTTTTTAATTTTTTTTTTAAATCATTGATTATTATCCGCTTATCCAAGAGGTCTGATCTACCAATGCCCATCCAAGGTTCCTGGTCAATGCAGGGGATGTTTCCGCGACTGACCGAGCTCTCAGGGACGTGGTGCAGATGTTTTCACTCGAGAAAGGGGTGCTCATTCGGTCTCTGCTTGCCTCCAGCTGCAGTTCTCAGAGGTGCTGGTGAAATGGAGAAGCTTCTTCCACCAACTGGCTGCTGAACAGGGCAAGGTGGGCCTGGCAGCTCTGGAGACCAAGCTGGAGGTAGAGAAGCTGCAGGTGAGTGGCTGACAAAACGGAGTTGGCTAAGGCGATCCGATTCCTGCATTGAGAGAAAATACCTTTTGGAAAACAGGTGCTGGGAACAAACGTGGAGTTGCCTCCTCTTGTGGTGCTTTTCCCAAAGATATTTGCCCTAAGCTCTTTCCTGGAAACTGCTCTCCCTTTGGGGGGCTTGTGTTGCCCCATTCTCCCTCCCCCCACAGACACACACAGGAATATATGGAAAGAATTCTACTGGTGTGTTGTGGTTCCAGCTAATGAAACATTTCAAAGAACTTCCAGGCATTTATTTTCCTAAAAGTCTTTTATTGTTACAAAATATCGGCACAGGCACAAGGGAGGGATGCTAGGATCTAAGTTCTCTTCCTCTGAGCAGTTAAATTATCAGCATGTTCCCTCCCTAAATTAGCCTTCATATCTCACATTATCCAATTAGTGTGAAGGTCAAATGTTTTCTTCCTCTCTCTTTCCAGGGCTTTACCCCCCACCCCCCACCCCTTCTGCTCTTTATTAACCCCATATTTACCAGACAATTCTGCATATTGTCAAAAGCAAGAATACACAATATTTGCAGCGTTGACATGGTGTTTATTCAAAACTCCCAACAGGTCCTCAGAAAGCACACCTGTTGCGCAGGTCCAGATTCCAAGCTCAGCATAGCAAGAGTCCCCAAAGGGGACACACAAATTCCAGGAAGGCAGTTCACAATTTGAAGGAGTCAGGATACACGGCAGAAGCACACAAGGCACAGAACTGCTCCAGCAACGCTCAAGTCCTCAGGGGTGGGGGATTAAGTAGGCAATGCCAGTGCAGCCCTTCATGAAAGATGAGGTTGCCTTCTCACGAGTAGTCTAGCTAGCTGACCGGCGTTGTGCCTATCTTCTCTCTGCTCTACGTGTCCTTGGATTGGAGGCGGTGTGGACTCCACCTCATTGCTAATGGACAGAAGCTGCTCCCGGCCAACTTGCTCACCTCACTCAGCCTCAACCGGTTGCTCATCCGATGGACCCAGCTGAGGCTGCTCCATCAGGCTAGCACCCTCCAAGCCCTGATCCTGACCAGCACTCGGCTCCTTGCTTTTTTCTGCTAACTCAAACTTGCCCTCCTCCTCTGAAGTCGCATCCAGAGATGGGCCCGGGGGCAGATCCATGACATGGCTTCATCTCCTGTAGCTCCTAGCTACACAGTCTGGACTCTCTTGGCTGGCGGATGAGAGCTGGGGAAGGTGCCCTGTGCCAGTAAATGAAGGTGGTACAAAATATTTATGTATCAAACACATTAACTGCCCATCTCCCTCACATAGGGGCCCTGGGGGGGGGTGGATATGCTGAGATCTGAACGGTCCTTCCTTTCTGACCTTGAAATGGTGCTACAGGGTTCAATGGAGGTCAGAAAGCTCCATTCCCAGGCAAAAAAAAAAAAAAACCCAGTCTGAACTGTCCACTACAACAGGGGTCCCCAACCTCTGGGCTGGGGACTCATACTGGTCCGTGGCCTGTTGGGAACCGGGCCTCACAAGCAGTGGGCGAGCAAGTAAAACTTTTATCTGCACACGCGTGGAATCTAGTTGCATGTGAAACCACCCCCTCACCACTCCGGTTGGTGGAAAAATTGTCTTCCACAAAACTGGTTCCTGGTGCCAGAAAAGTTGGGGACCGCTGCACTACAAGGTGGGATCCATTCTGGTGAAGTCAGAACAGCTCGGGATGCTTCTGCCGAGATCTGAACAAAGGAAGTTGGTACTGGGAAACCGTGACCTCAGAATGCTGGGCTGCTTCCCATCCCAAACCTGATTCGTGCTTGGCACAAGACCCATTTCAAGAATAAGACATGACTGGGCACTGCAGGACTGAAGTGGCACTTTTTTATTCTGGCAGGAGGCCCTGGCCAACCTGGGGATTGCCACCAAAGCGGAAAGCCAGCAGTGGTTCGCGGGCGAGAAATTGGGCCTCACAGGGTAAGTTGCCAACTTGAAAAGCTCGGCTCTGACCCAACCAGGTGGGTTATTCCAGGTCCCTTGCCCAACATGCATGCATTCTCCTGGGGTACTGAAAGCTGAGTGGTGCAGAGAAGAGCAACAAAGATGATTAGGGGACTGGAGGCTAAAGAAAAAAAAACCAACTACAATAATAATAATAATAAAGTTGGAAGGGACCTTGGAGGTCATCTAGTCCAACCCCCTGCTCAGGCAGGACAAATGGCTGTCCAGTTTCCTCTTAAAAACTTTCAGTGTTGGAGCATTCACCGCTTCTGGAGGCAGGTTGTTCCACTGGTTAATTGTTCTAACTGTCAGGAAGTTTCTCCTTAGAAGTTGCTTCTCTTCTTGATTAGTTTCCATCTGTTGCTTCTTGTCCTGTCTTCCGGCGCTTTGGGGAATAGCTTGACTCCCTCTTCTTTGGGGCAGCCCCTCAGATACTGGAAGACTGCTATCATGTCCCCCCTCGTCCTTCTCTTCGTTAAACTAGACATACCTAATTCCAGCAACTGTTCCTTATATGTTTTAGGAAGAACGATTGCAGGAATTGGATATATCTAGTCTACTGAAAATAAGAACTAGTGGAGACATGATAGCAGAGTTCCAGTATTTGAGGGGCTGTAGATGGAAAAGAGGGGGGTCAACCTATTTTCCAAAGCACCAGAAGGCAAGACAAAAAACAATGGATGGAAACTAACCAAGGAGAGAAGCAACCTAGAACTAAGGAGAAGTTTCTTAACTGTGCACAATTAACCAGTGGAACAGCTTGCCTCCAGAAGTTGTGGGTGCTCCATCATTGGAGATTTTCAAGAAGAGATTGGACAGCCATTTGTCCTAGATCAGTGGTTCTCAACCTGTGGGTCGGGACCCCATTTGGGGTCGAACGACCATTTCACGGGGGTCGCCAAACAACGCAGTCCGCCATTTTTTTCTCCTTTTCCATAGCTGTGCTACTCCCTTTTATTCTATTGGCTTTTGAAAGCCAATAGAATAGACGCTCTTGAATAGAGTCTAATTCTATTGGCTTTCAAAAGCCAATAGGAATTGTCCAGGCTGTCTCTGCCCGGCTGAGCCCGCCAAAAGTCCCATTCTGCAAACGGTGCTGCACTAGTTGAGTAGTCCTTGACTTACGACCGGTTGAGTAGTCCTTGACTTACAACCGGTTGGGGAGTCGCGGCATTAAAAAAGTTGAGAACCACTGTCCTAGATGGAATAAGTGCCCTGAGCATGGGGGTGGACTAAAAGACCTCCCAGCCCTGTGAGTCCATTATTCGATTGCTGGTTAATGCAGTTTCCAGGATGTTCTTACTTTCTCTTATTCCATGAGACTGGTAGTCTATAAATACTCTCTTCTCCTGTAGAAGTGGAAGTTTGAGCAATAAACTAGACAGGTTAACCTCGTGTGGCAATGTGAAGCCAGGTGCTTTTATGAAAGGATGGTGGGCGTTGTTGCAGGAAACAGACGGGAAGCAGAGCAGATAATGGGAGCTGCAGGAGCCAGCATTTTATTCCTAAAATCTCTGGCCTATCTAGCCAACCCCAGTTCCTCCAGGTAAAAATTGGGATGGGGGGAAGCTGCTGTTGTCCACCTTCTCCATTCACCTAAATCTTTTTTCAGAACGGTGGACTTGCTGGATTGGAACAGTTTGATCGATGCCCGGATGGAAATCTCCAAACTCCTGCTGGTTCCCAACCTGAAGGTAAGCGCCAGACTTGCAAGGAAGTTCTTCGTTGTGATGGAGATGAGGATGTACCGTATTTTCCGGCGTATAAGACGACTTTCTAACCATGCCAATCTTCTCCGAAGTCGGGGGTCGTCTTATACGCCAAGTCATCTTATACGCCGGAAAATACGGTAGCGTTTTTAGGAGTCTTCGGGGTCTACATTTGAACCACACATTTCTTGGTTTAGGGCAGGGGCAACTGTGGCAACTTCAAAGGTGTGTGATGTCAACTCCTAGAATACCCCAGCCAGCATAGCCTTAAAGTTGCCACGGTTCAGAAACACTGGCTTAGCCAGCTGCCGTTTAAAAATGCTCCCCAATAGAGAAAAGCTGCACAGTTTTTTCTGCCAGTCACATTCAGTTCAAGGGTTCAGGGTCAGAATAATGTGAGGTTGCTCTAAAGCAGTGTTTCTCAACCTTGACAATTTTAAGGCCTGTGGACTTCAACTCCCAGAATTGCACAGCCAGCGTTGCTGGCTGTGGAATTCTGGGAGTTGAAGTCCACAGGCCTTAAAATTGTCAAGGTTGGGAAACACTGCTCTAAAGGGAACTGACCAGCCGATGCTAGTCCTCAGTGAGTTGCCTACACGCACACCCCTCCCCAGTAAAGGCCAGGGCTGCAAAACTCTGTAGAGGAACATCCGTTCGTTTAACAAGATCTACGAGGGCACGTCTGCAGCATTTAGGATTGGTGCTGTATGTATTTTTAACATGTATTAAATTTACATGCCGCCCATCGGATATCAAGCAACTCTTTGCACTGCGTGCAGCGTGTAATCTCTCTTCTGCAGATAATTGAGGAGCAGGGTGGGGTCTTCCCGTCGTCTATTCTGAACCAGCTGCAGAAAAGCCATCCTCGGCCAGGCTGGCCAGCTTAAACAAGTCAGGAATGGCCCTTTGAGCTTCTGCTGCAGAAGATAGTGGGAAGCAATGATAAAGGATCAGAATCCTTTTTGGCTGGCAGTTGGGAGCATCTGAGGCTTCTCTGACCTCCCTCCCTTCCTTCCTTCCTCCACCACCACCCCCATTCAGAGTCATTGTTGCAACGATGAGCCTGTTTTAGACATTGGGAGACGACCCACATTGGCTGATCCTTCTATGGCTCCTTCTGTGCTCAGACAGGTGCACCGTGAAGGTCCTTTCCCAGAGTTTTTCCCACCATCCCTGTCTGGCCTGCAAGGACTTGGCAAGCTCTTCAAGGCCCCTTTGGCTTTTATTACAGTTGTGCAAACATTAGACCTGGACACTAGATTTGTGTTCTATCCCAGCCTATTGCCGTCCTTGTTAAAGGCACAAGGACCAAACCCCTGCTGATGCAATAGATTGGAGACTTTACAACAAAACAAACCCCTTTTAATATGGGTGACAAACCTGTCAAATAGTCCAAAACACAAACAGCAAAACTCAAGTCCAAAGGAAGGAAATAGTCCACAGGAAACACGATGCAAACAGAAGAGAAGTCACAAGCAAGACGAACAGACCGGGATTCCAAGAAGCACTTCGCAAACGGTTGCCTTCAGCAACCAGCACCGCCCACACTTCCTCCCTTTATTCAGCAGTCCCAAGGCATTGCCTCTCATTGCCTTCTCCTTTTATTCTGGAGTTTCCGTATTGACTGCTGCTGATTTACTCTCGCTAATTGATGACGTGTATGAGCATCAGTTAGCAAGTCTTTCAGGTGTGAGTCCTCCGAGTCTGACTCATTCTCACACAGCTGAGCTTCATCAGGAGCACGACTGGAGGGCCCAGGCTCTGCATCCAACCGTGAGTCCTGTAATTCATCAGAGCCTCCCTCTGCCCCTGATGGCCCTTCAAATGCCTCCTCCACATCCTCCTCAGATTCCTCAGACTCAGCTGACATGGAATCACAACAATTTGAGAAAATCAGGCAGGCCCATCAAAGCAGTTCCAGGCATCGGACATTTAGTGTCCCACTCTCACACACACACACATAATGGTGGTTTAGTGCAGAGATCTCCAATCTTTTGGGCAGCAGGGATTGGTTCCGTGGAGAGAGGTTTTTCCACAGAGCAGAGAGTACGTGATTTTGTGTGTTGCCTGCATCTCGTGGATGGGACTTTGTTTGTTTGTGCGGACCGGTTGCTGGCATGCTGCGGCCCACTACCGGTCCACAGACCGGGGGTTGGGGACCCCTGGTTTAGTGGGCTTATTAATATTCCCTAACAATTCACCAAAAACCTAGAACTGTCCCACTTAAGTCCAGCCACAAGCAGGCCAATGCTAGTCCACAGAGAAATGGCCAATTCCACTTGAAAGTTTCCCAGGCAATATAAACCCACCAGGCAAAGTTCAATCCACAACACAAGAGGGTTCAGGAGGCCAGAAAAATCCAGAGTTCACAAGGCTTGATCCAGGTCCAGTGTCAGTCCAAATCAAGGCAGGAAACACACAACTAGGGAATGACCACATTGTTCCCAGCATTGGCTCCATCTGTCTGCTGGGCTAAATAGCCAGCTTCTGGTGCAGCCCATCAAGAAGGGCGAGGCTTTCTCCCCGTGAGTAATCTGACTGACCTTCTCTGCGCCTGCCTTTTCTCGGTCCTACGTTTCTTGGATCAGGTGCAGAAGGCAGTTCCTCTTTCTCATCCCTGACCGGATGCAGCTGGATGCTTTCCCCACCTGAAGCCTCAGGGCTGTCCTGCTGCAGCTGTGCTTCAGCCAAATCCCTCTCAGACAGCTGCTCAGAGCCCTTGACCAACTCCCCTCCTGATGTGCCAGGAAGTGGTTTATCCTCCAAGCTGACATCTGGAGAGGAATGTGGGAAAGCACCCAGTGTCATCCCAGAGGGGCACAAAGCAACTCCAGACCCCCAGATTGGCCTGGCTCCCTTCAGGGACTCAAAACTAATGGTTGGAATGTTGAAATGTTCTCGAGCTCCATTTTTTTTTATGTCTGGAAATACTTCCTAATCTCATCTCTCAACCCCATCAGACAGGCCAGCTTGAGCCGCTCCTGTCTCGCTTCACCCAGGAAGAGGAGAGGCAGATGAAACGTATGTTGCAGCGCATGGATGTCCTGGCCAAGGTGAGACCCCACCACCTTTCTGCTTTGGGGAGCCATGGAGGGCGCAGCAGCAGCAGACAGGCTGCTCAAAGCATCTCTGACGGGTCACAGAGGCTCGGAACTAGGACTTGGTTCTCTCTGGCTTCTGCCAGCAACCTGGAGGGGACGTGTGTGTGTGTGTGTGTGTGTGTGTGTGTGTGTGTGTGTGTGTGTGTGTTGCCTTCCTCTGCCTTAGCAGCTCCCTCTCCCTCCTTCTCTCCCCCCCCCCCCATCAAGCCTCTTGTCTTTGCTGGATCGAGTTGGTTGCTGATTTTGCTTTCAAGGCAAGCAGCCCAGTGGTTTTGCTTCAGTCCCATGGAAGCGAACAGCAAGGGCTGCGAGGCCACTTAGAGCAATGTTTCTCAACCTTGACCATTTTAAGGCATGTGGACTTCAACTCCCAGAATTCCACAGCCAGCATTGCTGGCTGTGGAATTCTGGGAGTTGAAGTCCACATGCCTTAAAATGGTCAAGGCTGAGAAACACTGACTTAGAGGGTTGATCAAAGAGGAGAAACGGTAGGAGAAACTCCAGAGCAAAATTAGGGAAAGAAATCCGCTATTTCCTTGGTGTCCCCATTAAAAGGATGTGCCCAGCTTTATTGGTATTATTTTTTTTCCCCAAAGTATTGGTTTATAGGTAGTGCATTCAGTGGGCACGCTTGTTAATCAGAATAGAGCTGGAAGGAACTTTGGAGGTCTTCTAGTCTGGCCCCCTGCTCAAGCAGGAGGACCTATACCATCTCAGACAAGTGACTGTCCAGCCTCTTCTTAAAAATCTCCAGTGATGGAGCGCTCACGATTTCTGGTGGCAAGCTGTTCCACTGGTTAATTGTCCTCACGGTCAGCAAGTTTCTTCTTAATTCCAGGTTGCTTCTCTCTTTGATCAGTTTCCAACCATTGCTTCTTATCCTGCCTTCTGGTGCTTTGGAGAATAGCTTGACCCCCTATTCTTGGTGGCAGCCCCTCAAATACTGGAACACTGCTGTCATGTCACCCCTATTTCTTCTTTTCTCTAGACTAGCCAAACCCAAGTCCTGCAGCCCTTCTTCGTATGTTTTAGTCTCCAGCCTCCTAATCATCCTAGTTGCTCTTCTTTGCACTTTTTTTTCAAAATCTCAACATCCTTTTTGTGTTGTGGTATTCCAGGTGTGGCCTTACTAAGGTTTTACAAAGCAGTGCTAATACTGTTTTATGAAGCAGGACTAATACATAGAATATTTTGATTCTATGCCTCTGTTTATACAACCCAGGATTGTATTAAGCTTTTTTGGCTGCTGCTGCTGCACAACTGCTGGCTCATGTTTCAGGGATTTAAGTGCTAATCCTACTCTTTTACTCTCTTACTTTTTAGAAAGCTGTCGGGGTGGGTGTGAGGTTGATGGTGGATGCTGAGCAGACCTACTTCCAGCCGGCCATCAGCCGCCTCACCCTGGAGATGCAGCGCCGATTCAACCAGGAGAGACCAGCCATCTTCAACACGTACCAGTGCTACCTGAAGGTGGGATTTCCTGGTGGTCTCCTACCCGAGTATTGATCAGGTCCAACCTGGCTTGCTTACAAGCCCAAAAAGGGGTCCTTAGGCTGCCCCTCTTGGACACATTGGCCAAAACCGCTGAACTAGACAGGTGGCAGTAAGGGATGACAGGACTGCCGGCGGAAAAAAGACTCACTTGAGATATATTGATGGTTGCATTTATTTATAAGGAATTCTAACTGGTATTTTTTTTTTAACTAAACAACCCTAAGTCAGATTGTGTTGAAGTGTTCATTGGGATCTGCAGAATACAAAGATCGCCCATCCTTTATGATCTGCTGAAAGGTCTTTCCTGGTTACCCCTTACCACCAAATATCAGGCTAAGTAGATGATGCTGGAACAGAGCAGAGTGGAGAGGATCTTCCTCCGCTAATATGAAATGTAGTAATTTTGATAAAGGAGCAGATCTGAAGGTCTTTGGATTGTAAGTGCCAGGAGAATCCCGTTTTGCCTTGGAAGCCTTCAAGATACAATTGAAGACACATTTCTGGCCCAGCGGATTCTCAGTCTCCTTCCTTCTTCCTCCTCCTCCTCCTCCCGTTCCTGTAACTCCTCCTCCTCCTCTTCTTCCTCCTCTTCTTCCTCTTCTCCTCCTCCTGTTCCTCTTCCTCCCCCTGTTCTTCTCATCGTCCTCTTCTTCCTCCTGTTCTTCCCCCTCCTGTTTCTCTTCCTCCTCCTCCCGTTCCTGTAACTCCTCCTCCTCTTCTTCTTCCTCCTCTTCTTCCTCTTCTCCTCCTGTTCCTCTTCCTCCTCCTTTTCTTCTTCCTCCTCTTCTCCTCCTCTTCCTCCTGTTCTTCCTCCTCCTTCCTGTTCCTCTTCCTTCTCCTCTTCCTCCTCCCTCTCTACTTTCTCCTCCTCTTCTTCCTCCTCTTCTTCCTCTTCTCCTCCTCCTGTTCCTCTTCCTCCTCCTGTTCTTCTTCTTCCTCTTCTTCTCTTCTTCCTCCTGTTCCTGTAACTCCTCCTCTTCCTGTTCCTCTTCCTTCTCCTCTTCCTCCTCCCTCTCCACTTTCTCCTCCTCCTCTTCTTCCTCCCTCCTCTTCCTCCTCTTCTTCCTCCTGTTCTTCCTCCTCCTCTTCCTCTTCCTCCTCCTCTTCCTCTCCACTTCTCCTCTTCTTCCTCCCTCCTCTTCCTCTTCTACTTCCTCCTTCTCTTCCTCCTCTTCTTCCTCTTCTCCTCCTGTTCCTCTTCCTCCTCCTGTTCTTCTCGTCCTCCTCATCTCTTCTTCCTCCTGTTCCTGTAACTCCTCCTCTTCTTCCTCCTCTTCTTCCTCTTCCTCTTCTCCTCCTCCTGTTCCTCTTCCTCCTCCTGTTCTTCTTCCTCCTCTTCTTCCTGTTCCTCTTCCTTCTCCTCCTCTTCCTCCTCCCTCTCCACTTTCTCCTTCTCCTCTTCTTCCTCCCTCCTCTTCCTCTTCTTCTACTGTTCTTCCTCCTCTTCTCTTCCTCCTCTTCTCCTCTTCCTCTTCCTCCTGTTCTTCTTCCTTCTCCTCCTCCTGTTCCTCCTCCTCCTCCTTCTCTCTCTCCCCTTCCATCCCTCCAAACAGGAGGCCTACGATAATGTGACCATCGACGTAGAGCTCTCGCGCCGGGAAGGCTGGCATTTCGGAGCCAAGCTGGTGAGGGGCGCCTACATGGAGCAGGAGCGAAGCCGGGCAGCCGAGGTGGGCTACGAGGATCCCATCAACCCAACCTATGAAAAGACGAGCGAGATGTACCACAGGTGGGGGAGAAGGGGGTTCTGGGCTATGAGGCTCTTAAGGGGGGGGGAAGGATACCTGGGAAGTCCGCTGACACCTCCGTCCGTCCGTCTTTCCTGCAGATGCCTGGACTACATCTTGGAGGAGATCCGGCACAGCCGGAAGGCCAACGTGATGGTGGCTTCTCACAATACAGACACGGTCAAGTTCACCCTGGGCAGGTACTGGTCAGCGTCAGGCCCATCAACCCACCTGACGAAGCCCCAAAGAGGAGGGCTCCCCCTCCTGGCATTCTCGGCAAAGGCCGTCTTGCCCTGGAGACACCGCAAGATGGAGGATAAACATCTGGAAGGAGGGTTGGGGAAGACTATTCTAGAACCAGGTGGAAGAGGCCACAGGTAGGTTGTCGTCTGAAACCCTTTCTACTTTTTTCTGCAGGATGGCAGATCTTGGCATCCACCCTTCAGAAAACAAGATCTACTTTGGGCAACTGCTGGGCATGTGTGACCAAATCACCTTCCCTCTTGGTAAGGCGGGCCTTCAAGGAGAGTGATGTGACTTTTGGCCAATGGAGGGGGGGGGTTGTCACTTGCGCCACTGGCTGCACTTTTGATTGGAACACCGCAGTCTTCGGATTCGAAGGAGCTCAGGCACGGAACCAGGGTGGACTTATCTTTGTTAACCCTCCCTCCCTCCCTTCCTTCCTTTCTTCCTTCTCCCAACCTGTCTCCTTTCTTCCTTCTTTCTCCCAACCTGTCTCCTTCCTTCCTTTTCCCAACCTGTCTCTCCTTCCTTCCTCCCTCCCTTCCTTCCTTCTTTCTCCCAATCTGTCTTCTTCCTTCCTTCCTTTTCCCAACCTATCTCTCCTTCCCCCCTTCCTTCCTTCCTTCCTTCCTTCCTTCCTTTCCTTCCTTCCTTCCTTCCTTCCTTCCTTTCCTTCCTTCCTTCCTTCCTTTTCCTTCTTCCTTCCTTCCTTCCTTTCCTTCCTTCCTTCCTTCCTTCCTTCCTTTCCTTCCTTCCTTCCTTCCTTTCTTCCCAACCTGTCTTCTTCCTTCCTTCTTTTTCCCAACCTGTCTCTTTCCTCCCTTCCTTCCTTCCTTCCTTCCTTCCTTCCTTCCTTCCTTCCTTCCTTCCTTCCTTCCTTCTCCCAACCTGTCTCCTTTCTTCCTTCCTTCTCCCAGTCTATCTCCTTCCTGCCACCTTCCCCCCCCACACACACACAATGCCTTTGTGTGTCTTCCCAGAAGTGGGGGGGAGAGACAAAGCTTTGTAAAAGCTTTGCATGTCCTGATTCAAGCAAAGCGATTGCTGGTAGATATTACTTGACGCAGGCAGAATAACTCCATGGAAGGGATTCGTGCACGTTACTTTATTCATCAGGCATCCTCAAGTCAATAATTTACAGTTACTGTAGAGATTCTTCTGGAATATAGGCTGTAATCTGGACCCATCACATAGGCAAAAGGAAAATAGATTCTTCCATACTAACAGAGCTACTGTTGGCTGGTATTCATAGAGACCTTGCTGACTGGCACGTAACCAGGATATCCCGTAATAAAGCAAAAGTCCCTCCCAGAGGCCAATCCTGACACAGATATGACCAGTTAACATAAACTACATTACTCAGGAGGCTATCCCTTAAGGGAACAGTTCTTAATTCCTAAGCTAGCTATTTTTGGTCACCACGATGTGAAAAAGATGCTGAGACTCTAGAAAGAGCACCGAGAAGAGCAACAAAGATGATTAGGGGACTGGAGGCCAAAGCATATAAGGAACGGTTGCTGGAATTGGGTATGTCTAGTTTAATGAAGAGAAGGACGAGGGGGGTCATGATAGCAGTGTTTCAATATCTCAGGGGCTGCCCCAAAGAAGAGGGAGTCAAGCTATTTTCCAAGGCATCTGAAGGCAGGACAAGAAGCAACGGATGGAAACTAACCAAAGAGAGAAGCAACCTGGAACTAAGGAGAAACTTCCTGACAGTTAGAACAATTAGTCAGTGGAGCAACCCGCCTCCAGAAGCGGTGAATGCTCCCAACACTGGAAGTTTTAAAGAAGAGACTGGACAGCCATTTGTCCGAAATGGTATAGAGTTACCTGCCTGAGCAGGGGGTTGGACTCGATGACCTCCAAGGTCCCTTCCAACTTTTTATTATTATTATGGATCATCGCACAGTCAGCCAGATGTTCAGACTGGATTTGGCATTTTGTCTACCTATCGAGTCCTTACCCAGGACCTGGGATAGGCAGATGTAGATGTTTGATGGTATTACAGATCTCGTCGCAGGATGGAAGCAGTTCCTAGTAAGGCTGCCTTTTGCAATTGACTAATAGCGAATTTGTCAATGCCAATTGTGTTCAAGTTATTATTATTATTATTATTACTACTACTACTAGTAGTAGTAGTAGTAGTAGTAGTAGTACTATATGCTCTGACCAGATGGCTATATATTCTGACCAGCACAGGGCAAAAGGAAGTATTAAGTTTTGCAGAGCCATAAAAAAAGCCCTTTTTTCACCCCTCCAAATGAAACCAGCCCAATTACGTTCCCTTTTCGAGTCAGTGCTTAACACAGAGGAGCAGGACTGCGTTAGTCAACAGTAGCCAAGAATTAGTAGCAGTCTGGCAGCACCTTTTCCAACAAATATATTTTATTGAAAGGCATCAGCTTTTTTTGGCTCCTTTCACTAAGATGCATTCATCAGAAAAGTTGCTACCAGACTCTGATTTTAGGGCGGCTCTTCGTGCGTGAAAAACCTGTGACTATTGTCCCCACCACCACAGCCCTGTGAAGCAAGTCGGGCTGAGAGAGTGACTGGCCCAAGGTCAGCCAGTTGGCTTACACAGCTCGGGTGGGACTAGAACTCCCGTCTCCCAGTTTCCAGCCTGATGCTTTAACCACTGAACCAAACGGGCTTGTGACTTCGATTTTCGGGGTGGGAGGTGTGTGGGGAGGCTGAGTTGAGAAGCTGCAGCCAACAGGCCTCTGGCTTTCCTCCTCTGTCCAGGTCAAGCTGGGTTCCCCGTGTATAAGTACGTCCCCTACGGCCCCGTGAAGGAGGTCTTGCCTTACCTGTCCAGGAGAGCCCAGGAGAATCGGGGCCTGCTGGCGCGAGCAGAGGAGGAGCGGCAGCTACTCTGGACGGAGCTGAAGAGGCGCGTGTTTGCGGGCGCCCTCTTCAACGCACCCAGTCCCCCTTGAGCGGTTCTCCCCAGCTGCCTCAACACTGGGGCTGCTTGGACAGAGAGCCCAGTCGGACCAAGTCGTGGACGCTTCCTTCCTTGCTGGCTGACCGGATCCTGTCTCACCTGTTGCCAGGGTGGAAGAGTTTCTTGGGACCTGGCAACAGAAGCCCCGAGTGTAGCAGCTACTCCAGCATCATGCACCTTTGTGGCACCTGCCCGTTGCCATCCCCCAGATTTGACACCGGGTACTCCGGGCTACCGAGTGACGGGGCTCAGAAACGCCTTCTCCGTCTGTCACCTGTTCACTCTTCCGCTTCTTCTCTGGGGTGAAGATGGCTGTGCCAATAAAATTCTTTGCAGCAACCGCTTGAGTGACAGCCCGTTTGCAACCTTTTCCCAGGGCAGCCTCTGAACCTCCTATGGGTCTACAGGTGAGACTAGCCTCTGAGCCCTCCTTTCTCTCGCAAAACTGCAATCTATCTAGCCACCGTTTATTAGCTAATCAAGCAGAGAGGGTTTGCAAGGACTTGGAAAAGGAGTCAGGTAAATGATCAGAAGCCAGCGTGGTTTTGTTAAAAACAAGTTGCGCCAGACAAGGTTTGCTTTGATAACCTAGCTAGATCATGGATGAAGAGAATGCTGTGGATTCATTGTGCCCAGACTTTAATAAGGCTTTTTGGGGGGGGAAAGTGGATACAGCCCCCTTGAATAACTTGAAGAAGTAGGATTGAGGGATTTACAGCTGCCTGAGCTAACTGTCACAAGCACATGGTCATTAAGGAGTCCATATCCAAAAGGAACGGAGAAGTGAAAGGGGTAATGGATGGAATGGGGCAATGGATGGAGACGAATCAAGGAGAGAAGCAACCTAGAACTAAGGAGAAACTGGAGGCTAAAACATATAAGGAATGGTTGCTGGAATTGGGTATGTCTAGTTTAATGAAGAGAAGGAGTAGGGGTGACATAGCAGTCTCCCAATATCTCAGGGGCTGCCCCAAAGAAGAGGGAGTCAAGCTATTCTCCAAAGCACCTAAAGGCAGGACAAGAAGCAATGGATGGAAACTAATCAAGGAGAGAAGCAGCCTGGAACTAAGGAGAAACTTCCTGACAGTTAGAACAATTAACCAATGGAACAACCTGCCTCCAGAAATGGTGAATTCTCCAACACTAGAAGTTTTTAAGAAGAGACTGGACAGCCATTTGTCTGAAATGGTATAGGGTTACCTGCCTGAGCAGGGGGTTGGACTTGATGACCTCCAAGGTCCCTTCCAACTTTATTATTATTATTTGGTATATGGGTACCTGGGGTTCCAGCCTGGACCAATACTCTTCAGTATCTTCATAAATATCCAAGATGAGGAAGGGAGGAGGTTTGTTAACATGCTAGAATATGGGCTCAAGATTCAAAAGATCTAGATCAGTGGTTCTCAACTTGTGGGTCGAGACCCTATTTGGGGTCGAATGACCATTTCACGGGGGTTGCCAAACAACGCAGTCCGCCATTTTTTTCCCCTTTTCCTTAGCTGTGCTACTCCCTTTTATTCTGTTGGCTTTTGAAAGCCAATAGAATAGACTCCCTTGAACAGAGTCTAATTCTATTGGCTTTCAAAAGCCAATAGGAATTGTCCAGGCTGTTTCTGCCCTGCTGAGCCCGCCCAAAGTCCCATTCTGCAAACGGTGCTGCACCAGTTGAGTAGTCCTCAACTTACGACCGGTTGAGTAGTCCTCGACTTACGACCGGTTGGGGGTCGCAGCATTAAAAAGGTTGAGAACCACTGATCTAGATAGACTTGAACACTGGGCCCTGTCTAGTAACACGTTCAGCGGTGAGACATTTGGGCCAGAAAAACCCAGATGCACAGGTACAAAATAGATACCTGCTTTAGCAGTAGTATTTGCAAGGATCTGGTGTCCTTGTAGACCACAGATTTTGCATGACCCAGCTGCTAACAGCACCAGTGCAGTAGAGGTAGAGATGGGATCATAGGAAGTGAGCAGCACTAGTTGAACCACACACACACAATATCTTCTCCAGTTCCAGTCACCACGATATAAAAAGGAGGCCGAGGACTTGGAAAGAGGGCAAAGAAGACCAGCAAAGAGGTTTAAAGGCTGAGACTTTTGAAAAATGGGTTGAAGGAACTGAGTATTGTTTAGTCTAAAAAGGAGGCTGAGGGCATGCTAGGTTTCCAATCTTGGCGGACACAGGGAAGAGAGTGAATTTATGCTGTGTAGTGTGCTCAAGGGAAGACAAGAAGCAAGGAATGGAAGTTTTTCAGAGAATTATCCACATTCGAGGAGGAATTTCCTGACTGTTGGGAATTATTAAGCAGTGGAAGATCTGAGGGCTCCATCTCTGGAAGTGTTCAAAGAAAGGCCAATTGGTCTGGGCTAGTTGGAGGAGTCCCACTCTAAAAGTTGGGCTAGAAGACCCCCATCTCCGTCCCAACCACAGGGCTTTGTGATTGGACCCTCTTCTCACACTTTTTGGTCAAGTCATGATCAAACATTGTTCTGGGTTCTATTCCTAAGTCTAAGGAGGCATCTCCCGATCATGGGAGTTCTTCAACAGTGGATTTCTTCCTGGACCCACGGAGGTTTCATCTGTGGAGGCTCCAAGAAAACATTGGCCATTTGTCTGGGATACTCTTGAGGATTCCTGCTCTGGGCAAAAGAATGGACTAGAAGACCTCTAAGGACTCTACCAGCCCCACGGGTTGCAGGGCAGAAAATGTCATTAGAGTTAAGTCGGGTTGTCCAGTAAAAATCTGGACATGAAATTCAATGGTGAAAAAAAATAAGATTTTACGTTTAGGCAAGAAAAACCAAATGCACAGGTATAGAATAGGTGATACCCGGCTCAAAACTGCTAGAGGGAACTTGGGAGTCCTACCTAGTGGACAATCCCTTAAATATGAGCCAGCAGTTTGCTGCAGCTGCCAAAAAGCCCTAGGCTGGATTAATAGAGGGACAGAATCAAAACCACATGAAATGTTAATGCCACTTTATAATACCTTGATAAGACCACCTTTGGAATACTGCATCCAGTTTTGGTCACCACGATGTAAAAAAGATATTGAGACTCTAGAAAGAGTACAGAGAAGAGCAACAAAGATGATCAGGGGAGTGGAGGCTAAAACAATATGAAGAATGGTGAAATACTGTTCCACCATTCTTCATATTGGAATACCATCTTTGGAATACTGTTTTGGTCACCACGATATAAAAAATGCTGAGTCTCTAGAAAGAATACAGAGAAGAGCAACAAAGATGATTAGGGAACTGGAGGCTAAAACATGAATGGTTGCAGGAATTAGGTGTGTCTAATTTAATGAAAAGAAGGACCAGGGGTGATATGATAGCTCTGTTCCAATATTTGAGAGGCTCCTACAAAGAGATCAAACTGTTTTCCAAAGCACCAGAAAAAGAAGCAATGGATGGAAACCACTCAAGGAGAAAAGCAACCTAGAACTAAGCAGAAACTTCCTAACAGTGAGGACAATCAACCAGTGGAACAGCTTGCCTCCAGAAATCATGGGCGCTCCATCACTGGAGGTTTTTAAGGGGAAGAGACTGGACAGCCTCTTCTGGACTCTCCGTGACTTTTGTACCATGATTATCCAAAATTGGACACAGAATTCCAAGTGTGTCCTCACCAGTGCACTACAGAGCAGTATTATGCTCTAAGTCAGTGGTTCTCCACCTGTGGGTCGGGACCCCATTTGGGGTTGAACGACCATTTCACGGGGGTCGCCAAACAACGCAGTCCGCCATTTTTTCCCCCTTTTCCTTAGCTGTGCTACTCCCTTTTATTCTATTGGCTTTTGAAAGCCAATAGAATAGACTCTCTTGAATAGAGTCTAATTCTATTGGCTTTCAAAAGCCAATAGGAATTGTCCAGGCTGTCTCTGCCCTGCTGAGCCCGCCAAAAGTCCCATTCTGCAAACGGTGCTGCACCAGTTGAGTAGTCCTCGACTTATGACCGGTTGGGGGTCGCAGCATTAAAAAGGTTGAGAACCACTGCTCTAAGTCTGTACTATGTGCGGTGGCAGCCAAAAAAAGCTAACACAATTCTAGGCTGCATGAACAGAGGGACAGAATCAAGATCACGTGACGTGTTATTGCCACTTTACAACGCCTTGGTAAGGCCACACTTGGAATACTGCACCCAGTTTTGGTTACCACGATGTAAAAAAAAATATTGAGACTCTAGAAAGAGTACAGAGAAGAGCAACAAAGATGATCCGGGGACTGGAGGCTAAAACAACATGAAGAACGATGGCTGGAATTGGGTATGTCTAGTCCAGAGAAATAATGGTTGGAAACTGATCATTTTACAACAAAAGATACGAAATTGAGGGCAGCACAAGAAACAAGGGATGGAAACTAATCAAGGAGAGAAGCAAGCTGGAATTGAGGAGAAACTTCCTAACAGTGAGGACAATCAATCAGTGGAACAGCTTGCCTCCAGAAATCGTGGGTGCTCCATCACTGGAGGTTTTTAAGAAGAGGCTGGACAGTCACTTGTCTGAGATGGTGGAGGTCTTCCTGCTTGAGGTATCGGCACCAAGCTCCACTTTTCCATTCAGTTGCCTGACCAGTCTTTCAGAGCAGATTCTCTGCCCACTGCTGGGATGCCTTAAGTGGCACTCAGCTGAGGTGAAAACATATGAAGGACGGTTACAGGAACTGGGCATGGCTGGTCTAGTGAAGAGAAGGACCAGGGGAGACAGGATAGCAGTCTTCCAATATTTGAGGGGCTGCCACAGAAAGGAGGGGGTCAACCTATTCTACAAAGCACCTGAAGGTCAGACAAGGAATAATGGATGGAAACTGATCAAGGAGAGATTCAACCTGGAAATAAGGAGACATTTCCAGACAGTGAGAACCATCACCCAAAGAAACACACTGCCTTCAGATGTAGTGAATTCTATTCTATTCCGTATTCTATTCCTTTCCATATTCTATTCTGTTCTGTTCTGTTCTATTCTATTCTATTCCGTATTCTATTCCTTCCATATTCTATTCTCTTCTGTAATTCTACTCTATTTTGTAATTCTATTCTGTAATCTGTTCTATTCTATAATCTATTCTATTCCATATTTTATTCCGTATTCTATTCCTTTCCATATTCTATTCTATTCTGTATTCTATTCCGTATTC